CCTCCCTGGCAGAGCATGAGACTGAACAGTCTTTGATCAGGTTAAGCGCTACTGAGCAACAACTAAAAACATTGGTGTGTTATCAGCATTGTTCCCAGACTGAAAGTCGAAAACCCAGCACTGCACCAGCTACCAACAAGGAGAAAAATGACTGTTACAGCTGAACCCAGGACACATACATGTTCTTTGGTGGCTTTCAGCATTGTGTTTCTTGGAGTTGAAAAGCCTAGAACTCAGTCAACCTAGAAAATACAGAGCAAACAAAGAAGCAGTAAAAGAATAGGCTTTATTTTATAGAAAAATGTTAACAGTGCTTAGAGACAGCAGCTAGACAGTAATTTTCTGCATATATTACAGACAGAAACTCAGGCACTTAAATTAACAAATATGCTGCTGTTGCAAACCCAGCTATCCTATAACAACTATTTACATTTTTCTACAATACTAAAAAATGAACTAAAAGCATGAAGATAACATGTAAAAATATCTTTAAAACATGGCCATACTGTACCTATAGTCAAAATCCCCAACTAAGGTACTAGCCCAGATTATGTGCACATTAAAATAAGTCCATTTTAAACATGCACATTTTCCTTTAATATATCAGGTTACTTGCTTTCACCCATTACTAGTTCATTTTTCCTCTTCTTTTAATCGAGTATTCCACCCTGTTTCAATTAAGTTGTGAAACATTTAAAATTAGACTGCAAATTTAAGTGTCACTTTTTTGGATGTACACAATGGAATTCTAAAAAGTATGTTTAGCAAGTTAGAGAACACAACAGATTCGCAAATATTTTTAGTTGTTCAAGAATCAAAAAGGATCTTTTTATTTAGGCAAATTAAATTTTATTTAGGTACACAAACTCTGGTACAAGTGGTGTTCTTATTGGCTGCTCTTGAAAGGCCCCATTTGTTCCTCATTTATGTGTGTATGGCTGATACCGTTTCTGAATCCTTTAGTGAGAGGACTGCACTGGATGGTGGAGGCTTATACAAACATACTGCCATGACTATGAAGATGATCGTGATGATTTTGCAAACAGCACCTGAATGCAAAGAATAGAAGAATCCTTGTTGCAGTCACCTTCAATAGCAGATAAAGAGTATTTCAGCTGTTTCTAAAGTTTCACATGGTGAGTTACACTAAGACTTTTAAATGGATGCTGTGGATTTCAGTGTATATTGCATGAACTTCAAAGGGCAGGTAAAGGCAATTTTCCAACTTCAGACCACTCACCTGTGTGCCAGTTCTTGCTTGTAGCAGCTATCGCCATTACTTCAGTTCTGTATTTATTCACCCCATTCTAGCCTGAAGTGCAAGTCTGCCTTATTTCTTGTTTCAGTATGGTATTTCATTGCATCAATATTCTCTTTGACACAAACTAACACTCCCCACATACAAACCTCATAAGTATTCTCTCCTCAGCTAACTTAAAAGGTTGTTCCATTTATTCCTCACTGGTACACAGTGGTGCTTGTGCAACTCGGCAAGGACAACGAGAGGGGGGGAAAAAAGGAGGGATTGTATTTTATTACAAATATGCCCGAGAGATCCTGAAACCTCAAGTTGTGACTCCTGCAGTTTCAGTTTCAAGATTAGTTGTCAGTAGTTCAGTTTATGCACTGTAAGTATTACAGCTGATAGAAGACAGCACAACAGCAGTTATCACAGATGCAAACTCAGCCTGCCTTCCCTCCCTTAGACAACCATATCTCACATACTTGAAGGGAACAGACTGTTACATAAGTTTGGAAAATTTCTGACTAGTCATCAGAAATATTTTCAAAACCTTGATATTAATTTAGGGAAAAAAACTGAAATATGACAAGGAAGACTGCTCCTCAGACCTTAAGCTGCCAACAAACTGAGGTAGGTAAGCCTGAAACGTGTGCCAATCCCTTAAAATTCAGTAAATAAAGTGTGACAATGAAGAAAAACCAAACAACAAAACTATTTTTATATTATTATTAGAAAAAGTTTTCTAGTTAATTTCTAGGAGCCATTTAATGTGTTTCCTTCCATGATTATTTTGCATTTAATTACTTATCAAAAATTAACATTTCTTTAAAAATACTGCTGCTCAAAATAGGTTTAAGGTTCCATTTTAAAGTAATACCTGTCTAGCAAGCCAGTATATCTATTAACCTGTACATGTACTTAATATGAAGAAGTCACTTACTTATGCCCATCAGCAGATAGGCCATTCTTTCATTGTCATAAACCCAACAGGCTCCTTTAGTATTACAGTCATTAATATCCCACAGAGTACAACTGTTGTCTATAGCAACACCAAACAAAATTGGTCCAGGAATAGTACCTAAAAACCACAATAACATGTTAGAACTTCCAATTATTTGGAATAGTCTTACCTGGTCTTCATGCGAATGGTGAAATGCCTAGAGATGGTGGGAAGATAAAATGGGAGAGCCACACAGTAAACATTTTAATCTAAGTCATAGGGCTCATAGTAAGTGTGCCTCTTCCATGATTTTCACTAGGTAGGATGGGGGTTAATTAATTCTTTATATAGGTCTCACTTTATCAAGCAAGAGATTTGTTCAAAAGATTTGACCTTCTCAACTTCCTTAGTTTTCACTGGAAAAAAGTGTGATTGAAATCCGAGGAAAACAGCTAATCAAGGAAGAAGGATTTTGACTGAAGGAAAAAAGTCCCTTCGCTCAGCTCATCACTAATCTGTTCCAAATGCAGAGAACGAATATATTATTATGTTGATACGTTCAATTATACATTATTTTCCCCACCCCTCAGATGAAGCCAAGCTCCCAGGAAAAAACTAACATAAAATGAGTAGTTTAAAATAATTCTCATGCAATGTGTTAGACTTGTGCGATTTTTGTTACAACAGCGCTTTGTAAAGCACAAAAGCTTTGCATCCAGGTACAGCCAATTTTATAATAAACATTCCAGGTTCATCACTACATGTCCACCTAACCTACTGAAGGCCTAAACTGTTCTTGAGCTACTCAGCAGCTATGTCCTCAATATAGCTATTCTGTTTAGGACCCCTGTGTGATTCCTAAAGTCTTCAGCATAAATACCTTGCTGGTATTAATGCTGTTAGTTGCCACTTTCTTCAGCCACAGTTAATACAGGCAGTGCAAGAGGTTTTACTATCCTCTGCTCCACAGTGAAGTCAAGAGTTGAGATTCTACCATAGATAAGTGAGTAAAATGAATCAGAAAAGCCCTCATGAAACACTTAACAATACCTCCCTGCTAATTACTACCTGTGATGATATTTACTTTTGTTATGTTTCATTAGTAGAATGACTTGGAGTAATTGGAATTCCAGTAAGTACAGCAAAGCAGAACTCACAGGCCAGGACGGATGGGCCTTGGAGCAACCTGATCTAGTGGTTCATGTCCCTGCTCATGGCAGGGGGTTGGAGTTAGATGAGCTTTAAGGTCCCTTCCAACCTAAACCATTGTATGATATTTGATCTCGAATGACAGGGAACAGCTGCAGTACTAAATAGAATATAAATATCAAACCCTAACCAATAAGTAAGCCTTGACCCAGTCTTGAATTACATATGCTATTTAAAATGGTAAAGACTAAAACAAGAGTTTAAAATACGCCTGAAAAAATTCAAATGAGTGGTTCAGAGAATAGCTACATTTAACTTTGTGTTTTATTTAATGTGACTCACCTGTCTTACTGAGATTTTGGAGACACTTAGATTTAGAATTTAAGCAGTAGATTTCCCACATATAAGTTCAGTAATTATTTATGTACAGATGTCTACAAATTCAATAAAGGTTAAAATTAGTAAAAGGAATTTAAAGGGAAGGCAGAAGAGAGAAGAATACCTTTCCAATTCAAATTATATTGCCATATTCAATAACGATATGACTGTGTGATTCTGTGTCACTTTCTTTCAACTTCTGGAACTTGAGATATTAACTACATGAAGATATTTTCTATTACATCGCTGATTTCTTATTTTTTAACTTTCAGAATAGATTTTCTTCTCAGGGAAGCAACAGCAGCTACCTTTTACTTAAAGTATTATAATTATTTGTATTTTGTTTGTGCAGACAAGAAGAAGAAAGGTGAAAATGAGCACACATGCCCTGTTTAAGAGGCATTAGTATCCAGATACCATCTGCCTTATAAGAAGTGTATTCTGTAAGTCAATGACAGGCTGCTTTAAGCTCCTCTGAAAACTTGTTAATGCATTAAGTCTAGAAAAACATCAAGCAAGTAGATTATTCAGAGGCAAGTGTTTTAACAAGGAAGTCATACCCAGTAGCCGGAGAAACACTAACTGCACTCCAAGAGCAAATGAGCGCTGTTTATCTGGCACACACCTGTAAACAAGATTTGCAGTTTAAGACTTAGTAAACAAGTTTCAACTGTTCTGCTTTTCTGCTTTGTCCCTCAGTGAATATGCTTTGTCTTAATATATCCTTTTAACATGTTAGTTGCAGAGAGTATTAGAAATCCAGTATGCAGAACAAGTAAGCAAACAACTTCAAGAGGTATCTTGACAAAAGATAGGAGAAACTCCAATTTCTCCAAGACTTTTAGACTGAACTATTTTAACAAATAGTATAAATAAAAAGCTAGCTTACCAGCAGCACCCTGATAATACTATTCAGCATTCTTTTTCCACAGAATAACTAAGGAAATTAAGGACAGTGCTAGGATGCAATCTTGAGCTACTATTCCTAAAGAAGCAATAGATTGAGATGTCAGCACAGCACAAGCTGTTGTATTACCCATAACCTTTACATGTAGTTATCTAACCCTACAATTAATCAGTTCTGGCCTATGTTGTGCAAATCAACATGTTGATTTAATAACTAGCAAAATTTACCTCCTTACCTCCTACCTATTTCTTTCAGATATTTCACCAGCAACACTTTTCTCCTGCCAGTGTCTTAAAGATACTACCATAAAGATTAAATACAGCCTAACTTGATTAGGCAATTTAGTTTCAGCACTGTTTTCTTTAATACAATGTATCCCTGAAGCAATGTCAGTGCTAAAAAGACTGTATTTAAATATTAGAATCATAGAATCATAGAATAGTTAGGGTTGGAAAGGACCTTAAGATCATCTAGTTCCAACCCCCCTGCCATGGGCAAGGACACATGTCCCTAGATCATGTCACCCAAGACTGTCCAGCTTCGCCTTGAACACTGCCAGGGATGGAGCATTCACAACTTCCTTCGCCAACCTGCTCCAGTGCCTCACCACCCTCACAGTAAAGAACTTCTTCCTTTTACCTAACCTGAAGTTCCTCCTTTTAAGTTTGAACCCATTACTCCTTGTCCTACCGCTACAGTCCCCAAAAAGAGTCCCTCTCCAGCATGCTTGTAGGCCCCCTTCAGATAGTAGAAGGCTGTTATGAGGTCTTACATTCAGGAGTTATTCTGTCATTCTGGATTATGTATGACAACCATAGAAAAACACCCAAGATGAGAGATTATGAGCAGTCACTGTTAGGATCTCCATACCCATAAAGGCAAGTAGAGGAAAGAGAGTTAGTTTTGCACAGTGTGGGTTGTTATTTCTACCACTAGAACACTGTCACAAACACACGGGTTTACACTTGAAGCTACGCAAAATAGGTTTGCTGAAAAGCTATCAGAACATAGTGTAATAATTTGTCCCAGGATTTAGATATTTAAATTAGGGTTTGCACATTTAAACTGCTCCACAGTCTTCCATAAAAACTGTTTCACCATTTCAGCTGAAGTGCACAAGGATTCAAAATTCCAAGTGTTATTGCTTAGAATTATCTAAATAACACTATGTCAGCTCAGATTCGAAGATGATGCAATACTTCACATCATTCTGACTTTACACTAACATGACAAACTGCTAATTCCAAGCTGTTAATTCCAGATTTACACCATTTGTTGTTTTCCTGGTACAATTCAAAATCCTGGCACACAGGATTTCACAGGCCAGTTTAATACTTCCTTATCCAAGCACATCATATATTTATTCCTTCTTGCTTTGACTAAAACAGTCAGAGGAGTGCTCCCATAAAAGTCGGATTTTACCACGAGTAGGAAAGATTTAGAAAGGTTAGATCTACTAATCAAATGTAATTACAGAACTAGTGAACAATGATATGACTGTCCTCTGCTTCAAGAGCTGCTTGTTTGCTATACAAACTACTAAACCAGGAAGTCCCTTGCACATTGGTTTAAGTCCACATTCCAAAGCAAAACAAATTAGAATATTTCACTGATCTGAGCTTTCACAAGAAATCTACCTATTCCTCGGTTCCAAAAAACGTACCTGAGAATGGCCACAGTTGTTGGAGTAACAGCCATAAATGTAAAAACAACAGCAAAAAAGAAGAAGGTCAGGAACAAAGGTAAAAGTTTGCATTGTGTTGGACATTTCCCAGAGACAGCTTCATAGAGGAAGTCTTCTAAACCATTTTGTCTTTCTGGTTTCCCAATACAGGAACAGTTGTGGTACATCTACAAATAATTTATAAAAGAAAAATTAGGTCAAGAATTACATCAAGTAATACTAATATGGTACATGTTCATTAGGTCAGCATCACATTGGATACAAGGAATAACTCCTCACTTTACCATATGGGAAGTGGTCCATTTCCTGATGATTATAAGACACTGTAACCCTCATTTTTAAAACTGGCTTGGCAGAACTTGACTGATGCAGCTCACCTGAGCGAAAGCCATTTCTTGTTTTGTGATCTAAAGGCAGTTATAGTCTCCATCTTGTGTGGAGCAAGTTTTTAGGTAACAAGCATCAAAAAAAAAAAAAAAAAAAAACAAACCCACACAAACAAACAAAACAAAACCTTAAAACTAAAGATTTTAGAGTTTGGGGCATGACGATAGGCAGTACATAATATTATACAAAAATATGAATGACCACATCTATTGCAAAGAAACCTATGCAGAAAAGAAACAGCTATGTCACTTGACTAGATCAACTAGTGGTGCGAAAGTTTCTCCTCGAGTTCATTAAGACATTATGAAAATCTCCCTGAGTTAGTCAGACCAGCACAAGGGGAGGAAAGGAGCTCAGCCCAACATAAATTATAAAAATCAGGCAACAAGTAAAATAATTTTGAAGAGAGCTTTGAATTGGCTTGAGCTGGCTTCAACCCAGGTATACACTCCCAGTGATGGGGAAGGCTCAGTCTAGGGATAGGAGCATGTTAGAGACCAGTAACAGGAATCATATTGGTATTGTGATTGAACTTTGTATTGAAAATGCTGCATTTTGCTAAATGTAACTTATATTTGTATTGTGTTTTCAGCATATTTTTATGACACTGCTAAATCACAAATCCTGCGTAACACCATCTGTCACAAGTAAATCTGATATTACACATTACACCCCTACAACTGGAATATCTAAAAGCACCTGGTCAGAGTATTGGACAATGACACATATCAACATTCATCCTACTTAAATACGTGTTTCCAGTCCACACCCTTTTTTCTCATAGTAACTATCACTGATTCATAAACAATATGATTTGCTGTCATAGTAAGGGAAGAATATTTTCAACACAGCATGTATTTTGCAGGTAACCAGAACAGACCATGATAGCTATCTTTGTAGTATGAAGTACCTTTTTCATCTTGTTAACAGCAAGTGATGCACATCCTGCGAAACAAGGAGAGAAGTACTGGACCCCATCTCTGCCACAAACTGGGTAGTACATAGACCGTGAACATCTGCAGTTAGCATTGCATGGTGCTGTTAAGTTATGTAGTATGCCTGTTCTGAAAGGAAAAAGGTAATGGGCTTTTAATAAAGTAACTTAAAAACAGAATATATATAAATAAGTAATGCAGTATTTATACGATAATAAATCTCAAAATATTCCAGTGGTTTATGCACTTTTTTGTTTAAAAATAAGCCATGTTTTTAGTACTTATGACTCTTCCCATTTATTCTATACCACGTCATTTTTGTACTATTATTCCTTCCGTAGGTTATTCCTCTAATTTCCATTCACAAAACAGATGACAAAACTGTGTCTCAACCCAATTCTTTTACCGTTTCCTCCTTCCCTCAATATCATACATTTGAATTTGTTCAATTTACATTTTTAAGAAAAAATGCCAGACTAAAAGATGCATTTGGTGCTATTTATTCTGCTGATCACATTCCAAAGTTTTTTCCTTGCTGTGGATTAAAGTCCACTTGCACTGCATTTTACTATTTTTAACACTGCTACACAGACATCTACATTGTTAAAGCATTAAGATGGCTGCACATGCTAAATGCAGAGTGGTATGACATACAAAGTCTTATTGCACCCACAAGGACCTCACAGTTTTTCTCTCTCTTTAGGGAATAACTAAAGAAAAGAATTTAATTTTGCTTTTGCTTACTATAACTACTCTCAATTTAGGCATTTACTTCCAGTATAGGCCATAATATGGTTGTATTTGAAGTAGCCCCACTATATTATAAGTACTAAAAATTAGTTTATGATGTGTGGGGACCTTCTTAAGATTTAACTGAAGAGAACAGATTACATCCCTTGATTTTCTAATAGTACATTACTAAGTAAAGATGTTTCACAGGTTAAGAGTTCAGTCAGCTGATACAAGGATACTAACACTGTCAGTAATTTAAATATGGTACTGCAAACTGAAAGTTCCAGATTCATTACCTAAAAGACAGATTTCAAGAGAATTTAAAATAGGCACAAATACTAAGAAGACAAATAATTTACTTACATAGAATTCAACTGCACATGAAACATTAGGGACATCATAACTATCTATATACCTAATTTGGTTGTAGTACAGTTGAATCCTATTAAGTTACATTAGTTCATTCTTCATACATAGAAGAATCAATGTTAGTTTGCTTTGGCTTAAAGCACTACAGTGAACCATAAATTCACTAATTACGGATTTGTTTGCACAGGGACCCGTTAATCTATGAGGCAGGTCAAGCCTAGAAGAATTTAATCAATTCAGTAGCAACATCGGTTCTCTTTACATGTGCAGAAAAAGTCTCTCTTCCCTGACCTACAAAGAGGGACTAAGTATTTAGTTATGCACAGTTAGAGGAAAATACTAACATACACAAGAAATACAGTTTAGTGTAGGTTCTTGTGATGTGGAACTTGTTATAACATCTCTTTTCTAAAGAAGCCTAGCAGATGAGGCCATTAAGTGGTCTTCAAAAGCTCTACAAGTTGGGTATTCTTTCACAGCAAAGCAAAACAAGGAGTCCCAGAGACCTGTTGGAATGCATAGAACTACAGAAGTAGTCACTGCATTTCTGTTTCTTCAAGCTTTCAAAGAAATACTGGGCATAAGAATTAAAAAAAAACAAATCTTGAAGGTTTTACCAGACAGAGTAATCCACATTAGTTCTGTTTATAACCTTATCTAGTAATAAACAGAGTTACTAGAAACAATATACTTTGTTCACTAAAATATGCAGTCAAAAGTGACCATGTACTCATGTGGTTCTAACACTGAATTTACAAAAGCCTTCCCCACTCCTCACCTCCAAGCTATTTTTCAAAAGAAAAAGAATGCTTGCCATTAAGAATTTTAAAATCTCCACAAAAATTAATCTGCATTAATTTACATCTCAACTCTCAAAACACTCTCATAATTTATTATTTCAGATGAATTTGTTCAATAACATAAGCAGGAATCAGACATTTGCCTACTCTTCCACAAGCTTATAAATTCATTAAAGCTTCTACTACATATTTTAGCTGCTTATTGCTTCAAGGAAAGCAGTTACAGAACTGGCACTACATTAGTGACACTATTTTGATGCATGTCACATATCCAACAAACTACAGTCCAACATGTAACACTGAATTACATAAAATTGAATCATTGTTAATAATGGATACTGAGTGGAGACAGTTATTTCAGGACTAGTAAACTCCAAATGTCATATACATGTATATAATGCATATAACAGGTCTTCAGCAACAGCTAACCTACACAACTGCTGAAGTTACACGAAACTTTAAAACGCAAGTCAACTGTATTTAACTGAGGAAGAAAATCAATTCAGCTGTACCTTTTGTCAGCTGCCCATTATCATAGCACCTGGCACAGGAATCTGGATAGCTTCACATACTGTTTTCTACAGAACGTCCTCAGCATTCAGTTGCTGAACAGATTCTTTTCCTCAATATGTCACTATAAACTTGCCACAACCAGAGTTGGCATCATAGTTTTCACAGTTCTGAAGCGTTTACAGTAATCTTACAGCTAGCTTTTTTCACACTAGAGACATTTTAAGCATCAAATGTCAACACTGACCTTTGAGATGAAAGATGAAATCAGAATGAGTGTTAACTTTGCTTTAAGAAGAAGGAAGTACAAATGAATAGTTAAGGTATCATGGCATTAAATTTCTACTCTCTTAGAGAACTGAAAGCCTAACTGTCTTCAATCACTACTGCCTCCAAGCCCTCTGAATTTCCGTCCTGTTAACCTAAGGTTACCTATTTTACTGTTTTCACATTTACCTAAATGAGACACCTGAAAAATATCTGATTAGTCTTTCATGTTACTATTTTGGAGAAAATTTTGTAATATGTCAAATATACCCTTGAAGGATCTAGGAAAATTAATAGACTTCATATTGTGTGATTTTTGTGCACTTAGTTGCCTCAGTGAGTAAGATGTGATTTTTGTGCATTCTTCCATTTGTTATATGTTTATATTAAAGCATGATAATATCAAATAAAGAAACCATATAAGCCTAACTGTTTATTAGGTGTTTATAATTTTTCCTGGAACTCTTACCTACATGCATTAGAGGCTATAAAACTAATTTTCCTCCTCAACCCATTTTCTGCATTTTCATTGTGCACTTCATTCTATTGTGTCAGTAAAGTACAGAGATACTCTTAACCATCCTAGGATTCAGATGGGTTTTTTATGCATTGAAGCAGAGCTTGCAGATTCAGTTTTTGTACAAGATAGTGGTGCCTAGCCCTTTGCTAAAATGGGGGATTTGGGGAAAACAAAAAAGTTTTGGTAAGTTACTCACACAGTAAGTTACACAGCAGACTGCTCATGCCAATGATTTTTTTCAAATGGCAGTTAGTCCCTAGCCACCAGTCTACTAGAGTTATTTTGCACGGCAGCATCTGGCTCTTTGGCAGACCTTCATACAGCTGGAATTGCCTCTGGCTCTGTCAATTCATGACAGAGTAACTGACCACTTGAGAGCACAGTTTTGGCACAGCTATCTACCTTCCTCCGCTTTTAAACACTGCTCACACTATGGAAGTGTGTGCTATTCAAAACTATGAGAATTGAGGCATCATAATCTTATAGCTAATGCCTTAATAAGGCAAGATTAGACATTTTATACAACATAGTTCCTATGATGGTGATGTAATCACATTATTCAATGTTGAAGTTTTAAAACAAGCAGACCTAGAAATCCATTCTCTAAAGAATGCTTATCACTGCAGATACTTATTTTTTAATCTTGCTTCATTCTTGCTTTCTCTTTTTTGACTCTTTTTCCCCACCGCTGTACCAGTTTCCAAAGTAAGCTTTGTTCACAGAAACAGGACTAACATTCATCTTAGAATTTTTATTACAGTTACTACAAATATCTAAAGACGAGCAACACACTACATTCTTATAAGGAATGAGAATTGTGTTGTTTAAGGGAAAGTACATATTGTTTGAAGAAGTCTTTCCTATACATGTTAGACAAAAATATTTTTATTTATGTTTCAGTTAGCCATATTACTCCACTAATTTTATTCAAGTTGGGTCACTAAGCTATGCTTTCTTGGGCATTAAATTTCTACCTCTATCAGCCATTTTACCAGGAAAAAGAAAAAAGCTTCTATTGCAAATGGAGGCTAGATATCTTAGAATCTGATGCTACAATAATGTCTTTGTTTTTCTAGGGAAAAGTCTGCAATCAGCTTAAGTTGCAGTTCACTTCAGGGCTCTCATGAAAATGTTGACAAGGCAGACTTGCAAGCTGCCAAGATTGTCAAGAGTTGGTTAATAAAACCAGATACAAAAGACATGCTACTTCTACAGAGCTAGAAAAGTAGCTGTAGTCAATACCATGGCTATACCTAAAATAGTTACAGAAGTTGGGATTTTTGTCAAGCAGGACCAGCCTGCTCAGAACATTTTGCAGGCAATGCATTATTACTTCTTCTTAAGCATCCTTTACATAAAGATTCCACAAACAAGGTTTTAGAGTTCCATAAAGCATTTCCATTTCATACATAATGGCAAAATATGACATTTTTAAAGGTTTTGTATTCTGTGAAGTAGCTTATTTATTTTAAACATTATCACCAAACCCAAGAGTTCATTAAAATATATTTACCCATTATATGTTTCAGAGACACCTGCGAAAGGTTCATTCCCACATTTAGCAAATAAAAACACTGTGTTTAATAGTAGGGCCACTGAACAAGTGCCTATCATGAACTTGATTATGCTTTTGCAATCCATTTTGCACTTGGAAACCAAGATGCCACTTACGACTTGGCCTAGTGCTGCTGCTGGAATTAATACAAGCCCTAGAGGAAAACAAGACACCAGCAATCACATAAAAATGAAAGATAAAATTAGTAAAGCAATTTAAAATGCAATTTTATGTTAAGGAAAAAAAAAATCACAAAAGTTACTTGTATCTTAAGATGCAGTCTATGTGATGTCATTTCCAAACCATCTTACTAGAATCTGTTAATATAAGTAATTTATTCTGCCTTCACGTTATCTTTAGCCTTTCTAGAAGTTCAACTTGATAGCATAATTGGTTTACAGGTGTCCAAAACCCAAGTTCAACATAGCAAAACTCAATTACTTAAAGCGTACTACATACTGGGCAGGAATCTCTGAGCCACTTAATGAAAATAGAAAATGCTCTTTCATTGCTTCAGTGTTTTCTTCACATCCATGTTCTTTGTTATACATTTGTATTTTGAAATTTTTAATAAAAGAACATAATCACTACTATAGAAGAGACAGCACAAGATACAGTAAGGGATCTACAGAAATATTAGTAAAAAATAGATCAGAAAGTCTAAACAGTGGGTCAGTTCTGCTACCCACACAGTCCATAATGATTCATCCTCTTCACATTATTAAGACTCCAGATACATAACTGAGCATTTTTATATGGCTAATCTACAATACCACCCAGAACTTAGTTTAACATGCATTGACCTGAGACAGCTATTTTTAAAGACAGTTCAGGTACAGTGGCAGAACTGCACAGGCCACATATCCACAGTCAAAGGTGGTTTAGTTAGTTAACACAGTCCTTGGTTCTGAGACTAGCTAGTCTCAGAACATTAGTTCACGTACAGCTAGCTTTCAACATTAATGTAGGCATTTAAAGCTGTATATTTGGTTAATGCTATCAGTATTTTCAACTCAGAAATTCTATAGGAAATAGTGTATAAATCTATAGACAAAAAAAAATCCCGTTTTCCACTTCACTGCTGATCACTGTTTAACAATTGAGCATGTAATCCAATGAATTTCTATGTAAGACTTGCAGATACTCAACTTTGAAGCTATGATGTCTGAATAGAGAAAGTACTACCTAGTATTATCCAGGGAAATAAGTCATTCAGAAAGTGCCTCCCACTTCAACTAGCATATGCTTACATTGCAGCACTATAGAGCTGAAGTAATTTAGCAAGACATGCTCCAGAAATATTAAGTCTGCCACATTGTAAGCATCTGTTGGTCTATCTGCCTTGATCTGGATGCTGTTCTTCAGAAGTAATTTTGTCAGACTTAATCATGTGATCCTACCTAGTCTACCTCTTTCATCAGATTTTTTCATTTGTTTCTCCAATATTCAGCTTTTCATAACCTTCATCTGTTCTACCTATTAGTTCTGCATATTGGATAATGGGAGTAAGTGACAGCAGGGCAACTATAGAAGCAGTTGCACAGTAGTTTTCTAATATAACCTGATTAGTCATTTTATGGTAAGCTATCTCACTGTAACATGGTAGAACTGAAGAATGGAAAAGCCAGGTCAAACTCTGGCTTACTTGTGGTAAGCACTGCTTTTTTTCCAGCTGCCCATCATCTTGCTTCCTTTAGTAGGGACTAAGGCTGAATGTTCCTTCAGCTGATTTTAAAATCAGGAAAAAGAAATGGTTTTTTACCAAGAATAAGAAAGGAATCAATTATGGTTACCACCAGACAATTATTAGATCTGCATCTTGGTGAATTAAGTACCAGGGTTCTCAAATGACAGGCAAGAAAATATAAAAATATTATTTCTGCTATGAAAATTCCATTTCATGTAACTCTATTCACAATATCTTGACAAAACACAAGATGCCTATATAAACTATAATGTTAATGAGGTGTTCAGCACAAATGAATTCAACATGTAAAAATGAAAAGCCACATTACCCGCAAGAGTTGCTGAAAAACTTGTTGTCTTCCCAAATTGATTTTCTATCAACTTTGGTAGAAATGTGGCAAAGCCTGTGGCAACTAAAGCTTCTGAAGTACTGGCTCCTATTAGGCTCATAAGCACTGGATTCTTCAACAGTATCTATGGGGGAAATTAGCATTACACTCAAAATTATTTCATTGTAGTACTATGTAAACTAGACATCACTATATTCTAAAGCAGATACTCTGATTTGGAACTTCACTAATATGTTTTTCTTGCTTTAACAGTCTTAAGCACCAACAAAATGGATATGCATTAAATTAGCAGCAGCACTGGAGACTTACCTATCACTACACAATAAAGAAGCAACTACCTTTCTCAACATCTATGAAAAAATCATTTCTCAGAACATACCACTTTTAGTAAAATCATGATTCCCTTACCAGGAGGGCCATGGGAAAGTCTTTAAAACTTTTTCCAATATTCTGGGTCTCAACAAGCAGCTCACTTCCATCATCATGTGTTTCAGAGATCTTTTCAGACTGTATTTTTGCTGTTCCTACAAATGGACATATTTATTGACAATAAAAACATTGAAAACCCATGCTCTTGGGCTTGAAGTCAGAAAAAACATTAAAGTAAGTGTTTATTTTCCTTCGCAGAACTAGCTCAGACATTTTAGGTATTCTTGACTATTTTACTGGTACAGGTCCATAAAAAGATCAACAATGTACTGCTGCAGAAAGAAGAATTTGGCTGAAAGCATCATGCTTCCATTAGAAGGCCTTGGCTGTAAGAAGATATTGTTAGGAATAGCCTAAGGATTTCAAACTATCCTGAAACCCATTCAATATTTTTTTTTTTTAAATTGTCCTCACATTCTCCCCAGTTCCCTACTACAATGCTTCTTTTCCTCCATCATTTCTCTTTCCAGGCAAGCACAGTAAGTTCATTTAGATGCTTGTCCAAGGGATGCCTAGATAATAACTACCTGAACAGAAATTCTATTAAAATTATTTTTTAGAAGACTGCTCTGGGATACTTCGATTCATGTTTTATTATTCTACCCAAAACAATAAGGCAACAGAGTTAAAGACAATAATGCATGCATGCATGCATGAAGTCAATGAAGTTTCTTTATGTTTCCTGATGGGTAACACAGTATCTTTAAATATAGTCCTGGGTGCTCAGCTGCAAGCATCTTCCAAACTGTGACCATCACTTTCCCTGTTCTACCTATTTCCAGTGCTACCATACATCATTATGTACACAAAGCCCTAACTCACTTGCTTTAAGGCTGCATATTGGAAACAAGGTATTTATCACAGGTTTTAGCCAAAAACAGGTAACTGAGAAACAGAAAGAAAGAGCAATCGCTCAGTCCAGCAACCTATGACCCAAAAGTATAAACAAAACTCTCTTCCAAGTTAGCTTATTATTGTTAAATGTTTACCTGGTAGGTATTTTGGAAAGCATGAAAAAGGTATTATAAGAGGCCAAATTGCAAAAAAGCATACAAGAAATCCTATCCACCATGCTCCAAGCCAACGTGGGTCATCTGGATCCATCTTTGCACTGGAAAAATAATTTGCAAAAAGCAGGTTTACAATTTGTGAATTCAAACAAGCAATTTCAGATGTCAGTGAGCTAGATTTTTTTTGTTTGTTCTAAACACTGATTTAACAACGGCATTTGAATTTTGTCTTTTTTTTTTTGTTTTCTACATATATTTAGTTTATTGGTGGCTTGTTTAAAGCACAATCAACAGCTCTATTATAATATTGCATTCTACCAAATACAGCTTTCAACTCATTAGTCAAATCCATTCTGATCTAAAAGCCATTATTTCACCTTGATTTCAAGATTCTGCAGCATTAAGATACGGAGAAAACTGTTTTTAGAAAGAATCTTCAAAGCCTATGAGTTATGTGAAAGACAATATAGAAGTTCAGAGTATCATTGCATTGATCTGAAGTCCCCAAAAGAGAGGAAATAAAAGTGCAAACGAAGTTGCTGGATAGTAGTACACTTTCTAATATATTTTGAATACTCAACTGGTAGATTTTCTAGCAAGCTCTTCCCCAGAAGGTTAAGTAGCAATATCCTACTCCTCATATCCCACCTCAGGGACACTTTCTACACAACATAACAATAGTTGGAATCTAACCTTAAATAAGCAACTCATCAGAAGATAAAGCATTTTTTGTCAATCAGCTTTAAAATAGCTAGCATCTCAAAAAGCTAGAACAAAGTATTTGCACTACAGAGAAACTTTACCACACAATGGAGTGACTGCTTACTGTGGGAATTAACTCATTTCCTTAGAAGCCCTTGTGAATGCAACTTGTTACCAAGTTAAAAAAACTCTTGAAAATGTAGTATTTTCCAAACAAAACCACTTTTTCCTCCTTGTATGGAGAAAAGATGAAGATTTTAACAAGAATTAATAGGGAAATAAAACAGAAAGCAAAAGACTAAGTTGTATCTTGCCTTTCTGGGATCTCGATATCAATATAAATATTAAGTAGCTGTCCTCCTAAGACATAGCCAATAGCAGGACCCAGCAGTGACATGGCATAGCCAATTCCTAGAAGACAAAATACATCAAGTTCACCATACATTTTTAAAGCCGTGTTTTAAAAAATCCTAAACGAGCTTCAGACCAGATGGTTTCTGTAACTCAATCTGTGTTTTTACTGTCATACTTCAACTACAGCATGTAGAAGACAAAATTTGTACTTGTCTCTTAACAAGAAAATCTGCAGCCCTCATTAAAAGCTGCAACTCAGAGGTTCGGCTTGATGCAACTCTTCGGGTTGAAGAATCTGGATTTCTCAGTTGTTTCCTCACCATTTAGTATTATTTCATGCTCTCTTGACAGAAAGAGGACTGGGCGTGAGGAAGGGGTGCAAGAGGAGGAAGGGGCATAGAAGGGGACTTTTAAGTACCGGTAAGTGAAATAAACATTGAGTTGACATATCCCAGGTTTTCCTGTATTTTGGAATTAATGATATGCTGAAAGGATCTTTCCAATGCAAGTCCACATTCATCCTGCAAAATGTCAAACCTAACTAAGAAGGTGCCTATTTCTTCCTACAGACCATTCAGCTTAAATTATCATTTGGAATTGTTTAACTTTTTATTGGCTTTAGATGTAGATACCTCCATTCAGCAAGAGGGGAACACTTATGAAAATGCACCCAGTTTCAGAAGAGAAAGAAACTACCAACTTAAGAGTTGCAAGCTTACATTCTAAGATGCTAGGAGCTGTTTAGAGACACTAACTAGTTTGCTTCTTTTTGCTGCCTTGCACAATCCGTCTCACATTAGGCAAAGCAACACAATGTATTTTAAATCTTCAATACATTGCATAGAAGCAAGAAAAAGAGTTAAGGTCTACTGTAGCTACCTGTTCACTCACTTGCATTTAAGTTTTGTTATACTGGACAGAATATAAACTGAGTTCTTCTGAACTCAGCAGTTGTCTGAAGATTGCACAAGCATGAATTTCTTGTATTGGTCTGTTATTTTTAAGTTTGAACAATCACACCGTTCTCTTAGTAGTTTTCAGGCTACTTCATGAACCCCTTATCATGCAGACAGCCGTAATTCTTCTCTATTTACTTCACTGGCCTCAGAGGAAATAAATAAAAGTGTAATCTTCTCTCTCAATATAAAGAAATAGGAAAAATAAAAGTTGTCTTTCTTATTTAAGACTTAATATATGCAACTATTCTATTTGTTGGCATCAAATGAAGTGGCTTGTCTAGAACAATTAAGCAAGAATTCTATGCAAAATAGATGGTGATTTCAATTTTGTCCCCTAGAAATACTGATTTAGTCTGGAAAACAGCCCAGGAATCTAAGATGCTTTGAATTCCTCCTGCAAGTCACCAGTATAGCTAACACACTTTTATCAGCTTACACCTAAAATGGGGATAATAGCAAACATCTTCATACCCATAGAAAACACACTTATACTACAATGAACTTGGCAGTAAAAATACACATAACCAAAAGAATGCTGAATAGGAAAATTAAAAACCACTGCTAAGAAATACTATCCCTTTGTTTTCAAACAGCCCCGCAGTAAGACACATTCTCCAGATTTCTAGACAATCCTTTTAAGGTCAATTAAGGAAAGATACATCCACTGTTTCCTCCTGAAGCTCCAAATTTGTATGTGGCTAGAGAACTGCATTGATCACATGATGCACAGGAGTGCCCCTCTACTGAAGGGACAGATTACTGTTAGAAGGTAAATAAATAAGTCTGATAAAGGACACAATAAGGTGTGGCTACTAACCCGATATACAGTAGTTTTTGAAGCCTGACACTAAAAGCAAATTTTCTCTACAACTCATTCTGTTCTTGACAGGCAGACTACATTAGCCACTTAATCACCTTCAGTTACTGACATGAAAAAATAGCAAGAGAGGTACAAGGTAGCCTTACCACTCTCTGCAGAACTATTGACAAGACTTGATACTTACACCAGAGTAATACCTAACATGCACAGTAGCTGATATAGAAACACTTTACGCACCTAAGTAAACAATGACGAGACAAATATAATTTGAGTAATTCATGAAAACATTTCAAAGGCATTGCAGTCTATGACCTATCCAGACAATGCGTTATAAATAGTTTTAAAAGTTACCTATATAAAGGGAAGACTTGTGTTTTGGGACACTATCATCAATAAAAGCTGTTCCCAAAGTATACAGTGGTGTACCTCCAACTCCCAGCATCAACTGTCCCAGGATAAAGACATAGAGATAGTTGGAAAGTGAAGACATCACGCTGGCACTGCAAGTGAAGTTAGCAGACCTTGTTCCTGGAATTTGACACGTGTCTGAAAGACAGAGAGCAAGACTTCAAAATTCTGTTTCCAAGCTCATCATAGTCTAACTGAAGGGAACAAAAAAAAAAAAAAACAAACAAAAAACAAAACAAAAACCAACACCACAACTCTGTACTGAAAGCTAAACTACACATTATCCCCCAAAAGAAATACTATTATGGCTTGAGTTTTGTTTCCTTACCAGGAATGAAAGATGGATAAAATAGCCTTATTAAAAGACTTTGACTTGCTGAAAGTATTATTGACCAAATAAGAAAAACAAACAAACAAACAAACAAACAAAGGAAGCCAAACCTGTCAAACTGTCATTCAACAGGTTAGTGAATACCCTGAGGAACAAACACTTAATTTTCTTCTTGTACCTTTTAATGAGTCTGAGAGCATGAACAACTTCTACCCTTAAGTGAGAGAATGGTCTGGACAGCCTAAGTGAAGTTGGACTGCCAGAGAGGAAAGAACAGTTATCATGTGCAAGCAAAGATAATCCTCTCTTCCCATACACTCTTTTGAGAAGTGTTTCTCAAGGGGGGAAAAAAAAAAAAAGAAAAAAATATCAAAACGAAACACTTTAAAACCCACACCACTATCCCTCATGAAGCACACACTGCTGTATCTCCCAAATGAGAAGTTAATGTAAAACTTTTGAACTTGTTCACACACACAAAGAGGGAAGCAGAGGTATAACAGCCTAAGGTTGCATCTTCTCCTGCAACATTTGGCACTATAAGGAGGGAACAGAAAAGAGGAAGTGAAGACAGGGAGTATGTTTGCTCCTTCCCCTTGCTGTCATTGTACTTTTAGTAGCAGATACACCAGGAACAAGATCAAAGAAGGATCATGGCTCTTTTCAGATTTGTCCACAGAAAAGCACACAACCCTAAGGAAGAAGATAAACCCATCAGTTTGGTAGAAACATGCCACACTGGGCAAATACATGAAAGCACACTTCAAATTAGGTAAGCACACTGATTAATTCTCAGTACTTTGCTACACAATTATTACATGATTTTCTCGGGTTGTTTTACATTTAAGAACACTTCTTACTTTAAGCAAAGAGCTAACTTGTCCGCACTTTGGTCTCACAGGATATAAAACATAAGGAAGTGCTTGCCACACAGCAAATATTTGAAGAAAACTGTCTACACTGATGTTATAAATTCATCCACGGGCTTTATCATGGCTTCCTCCTGAAGGAACACCACCATAGCAGTAGTGGGATCATGTAGCACACAACAGGTGGCTCAGTGCTGTTGCACAGAAACTGGCCAATACAGAGCGATGGGAAAATTCCCACTTCAGGCAGAGGAACCACTAGAATTTTCCTTCCTTTCCACTTTGGAACAATCCTCATTTCAATGCTATGCTGAAGCCACACAGGGAACACCTTATTATGAATCACTACTTTAAAGACTAAAGGTTTTGACAATAAATGGAAAATAAACTCTGTGCTTTCTTTTGCAGCAAGGTCCTACACCTGGGTCAGGGCAATCCCAGGCACAGCTACAGGCTGGGTGAAGTGATTCAGAGCAGCCCTGCAGAGAAGGACTTGGAGGTGTTGGTTGATGAGAAGCTTGACATGAGCCAGCTTCAGTGTGCACTTGCAGCCCAGAAACTAACAGTGTCCTGGGCTGCATCAAAAGCAGTGTGACCAGCAGGTCAAAGGAGGTGATCCTGACCCTCTGCTCTGCTCTTGTGAGACCCCCACTTGCAGTACTGTGTGCAGTTTTGGCATCCTCAACATAAGAAGGACATGGAGCTGTTGGAGCAAGTCCAGAGGAGGGTCACAAGGATGATAAGAGGGCTGGAGCACCTCCCGTATGAAGACAGGCTGAGAAAGTTGGGGCTGTTCAGCCTGGAGAAGAGAAGCTGCGTGGAGACCTCATAGCAGCCTTCCAGTATCTGAAGGGGGCCTACAGGGGAAGTGGGGAGGAAGTCTTCATTAGGGACTGTAGCAACAGGACAAGGGGTAATGAGTGTAAACTTAAATATGGGAAGTTCAGGTTAGATACAAGGAGGAAATTCTTTACAGTGAGGGAGGTGAGGCACTGGAACAGGTTGCCCAAAGAAGTGGTAAATGCTCCATCCCTGGCAGTGTTCAAGGCCAGGCTGGACAGAGGCTTGGGCAACATGGTCTAGTGTGAGGCATCCCTGGCCAAGGCAAGGGTGTTGGAACTAGATGACCTTAAGGTCCTTTCCAACCCAAACCATGCTATGATTCCTCTTTTCTGAAGGAAATTAAGTCTTTAAATGAGGTTAACTGTACTATTTTAATGCAACAGCATCTAAAATCCATTATAAAAAAAAACAACCCAACATGTCCTGCAGTATCTTGTTAACATACATTCATGTGCAGCCCATATATATAAAATACCTACTGGGCAAGTCTAAAAGAGCATTTAGCTAGCTATTTTATTGTAGTACACAAATAATAGTAACTTTTTAAAATACACACATCAGAAAACAAGTAATGCAGAGCAAGAAAATACCACAAATGATGCTAATGACAAAAGTGTAGCCTAATTCGTTCTTCACAAAATAAGTAGATTGTGTATGGTAATATAAATCAAATTCTTGACAGAATGTGGTTTTTCATGAATTCCCATCTTCACCCACACTGTCTCAGGCTTTTAGGTTGACATGAACTAGCTGATTATAGATGCTTTTTCAGTTTTCTAGCTCTTGAATTTATATGCCCTCAGAAATTTATCCTCACATTTAGGTGAGAAGTTTACCACACTAGTTTGTTTTCAGAATCACGTAATAGGTCTAACTACAAAATTAAGAAAACCATCAATATGCACTTTAATACAACATAGTACTTTTGTTTTCAGACTTCTTTTTTTTTTTGTAAGTCAGCAAGTACACATCCACTTGCTGAGTGGAGTCATAGACTATATTTCATGTTCCCAAGAAACATTTTAAAAGCAAAGATCATTTACCACAAAGCTAAGAGTACCAGTCTTGTACCAGTCAAAGGTTTAAGCAGATTGTTAAGGTGACACAGGTTAAATCTAACCTGGATTAGATCCACAAGCCTGTTTGCTGCTGTCATAAGAACAATTGTGAGAACGTACTGCCTTTGATACAACCAACCTGAGCTAAGCAAAATTCTGGAAGAAATTTAGGATGGGTGGCTGACCATTTTTAAACTAGATTTTCTCATTCAACTTGTTTTACTTCAAAGTCAGTGGATTAGACTTGCATTTGAAACAGCAGAACTGCATTAAAAGCAACATCATGCAACAGTTAGTCATTATAAACCTTCTTGCATGCTGTAACATATTTACCTGAATTCAAGTTACATAAAGGCCAAATATCCCCAAGTATCTGATACAACACACTAGCCTCTAATACGAGAGGGTAGAACCAACTGTGAGGTGCCACTTGTATTTACCAATTACATTAGACATAAGACAGGCCTCTTGACTGTTTTCTTTGTATCTTGAACTGCAGTCAGTAGGCATGGGGGTTTTTTGTCTTTTCAGGGGCAGGGAATAGTTTATAGTTGTCAGGAGTGAGAAACAAAGAACAGCTTGGTTTCCATTCCTTTATAAACATTAATATGTCTCCCCTTTAAGTCTTGAATAGGAAACTCAAAGCTTCAATGGACATGCTGAATGAAGACCTAGTCCTTGGCTTCTAAAGGCAGATGTTACAGTAACACAGAACATCTAAGTGGCACAGAGAATTAGGCCAAGTAATGTAGAGAAAAGAGCACTATCCATTACTTGACTAATTAGATAGCCTCTTCAGAGAGCAAAACAAACAGAAAAAACACAGACATACTGATGGGGCAAGACAAAACAGTCAAATTAGAGGCTGGCATAACACACATTCTGTCACCATTAGTACGCAAATGCCACAGTCTTCCTCACTCTTAAACTGTCGTTGGCATGTTCTAGGAAAGAAGATCAATTCCTTCTGAGAAGATGCATTCTTGGACCCTAAATGACTTGTCCAGCACTTGAGTCTTCAGTAGAACAGAGAACTGAAAAAAAGTGTTCAAATCATTCTCCCTCTTCTTAGATCACACATTACACATTTCAACTCAGATGGCTAAGGTTTGTATTAACAAAGACAGTTCTTTTTTTTCCAAGAGAAGCCATTCACTTCCTGTTACTGAAGAGACTTATGGAATAATTCAGGTTGGTAGAGTTATCAGAGAGTCATGTCACTGAACTTAGAATCATAGAATAGCTAGGGTTGGA